GAAATGAGTATACTGTCTTGAGATTTTTTAGAGGTGATCACGCTCTTGTTCTTTTCTTTGTATTTTTTGGGTCTCCTCCCTTCTTTAGAAACAGAAGTAGTTTAATTTTCCYGTCTAGAAGTGTGATAGCAACTCAACTGCAACATCAAGCTTATTTAGTATAAAGTTAGTGGATGACTCCAACCATAACATCTGCACATTAGAATAAATAAGAATTGATAAACTCCAAAGAATCAGATACTCTTCCCTTTCACAARATCAGGGTGTTTACACTGAACTTTCAGTGACGTTGCAAGAATCAATACGTTTTATATAGCAAGAGTAACAAGAACATGTCTAAACTCATATTGCCAGCTGAATCAGGCAGCATCCCAAAATTATTTCCATCAGCCAGACATCTATTACTGTATTTGCTTGGTCTCATAATGACAGCTCCTTCAAACACTTTTAATTTCAACTGCTCTGTTAAAGATTCACCATTTCCCCCCATTAATCTCTCTGAATAGTTATCTAGGTTTTAGCATTTTTAGTCATCATCACAAAAGTCTCTACTACTGAGCTCTTATTAATTCCAGTTATAAAAGTAACAAGCAATTAAAATCAAGAATGTTATCATTTGAAAATTTTAGGAATATACTTCTACCTTTAATTTAGCCATAGATTTAACATATTGTCACTTAGCATTAACTTCTTTTATTATTCCATCATTCCATCACAAAACACAAAAAAATCATAGAAAAACAGGATAATTAGTGGGGGGGAAAAAAAGCCCCATGAAAATAGAGCTATATTTACTCAGTTAAAACATCTGTCTACCAATACTAGAATATATTGATAATATATTGATATTGATTTATATCAATATATTGACATTGAATATCACAGGACAAACAATTTTGAGTCTTACTACAATATTAAGGCCTCTTGTTCCATAAAGAGGTAGCAGTGTAGCAGTGTGAAGGAAGTAACAATTCAGGAATGCTACATAAGCCTAAGATAACGCTTCTGGAAAGCCCCTGAACAATTTTATGTATATTTAACTCTGTCTAGTAGAGATATTTTTAATTAACTTCTGGCATTCTATTCTTATTTAAAATTAATGTACATTGAGACAGCCTTGTAAATCCTTTTGTTATGGAATTAAAAGGCTGATATTCTCCCCTCTCCCTTATATTCTCTTAAATTGAGAATTTAAATTCATAGGAAAATAGACCTATAAACAGATTTGAGAGAATAAAATACTAAAAGTTCACTGAGCAATAATTAGGTTACAGATTATACAGTCAAATATTACATAGGTACAAAGTTCCTGTTCATATGTATTTACCCTTAAATGATAATTACTGATGGGTAAGTAGATGAAATATGTTGCCATCACAAACATTTGCAAGCATTAGTAATATGCTCAGAAATGATTGGGTAACTCAATCTCAACCAACGCAGGTGGTAATATTGTCCTGGTTATAGGGTAAATAATAGCATCTCTGGAGCATTGTAATTTTTATTTTAGCATAACAGTGAAAGACAAAATGCAAATGGAGAGGAATTGTTATGCTGTGAACTTTCTTCCACTAAATTAAACATAGATCTCTGAACATGAGCCAGAGCTGGATTAATGCAAGAGGAATCATTTTCATGGAAGAAAGTTAATGAGCAACCTCCTATGCTGTACATCTGTTTAAAACTACCTTCATCCTGCTACCATTTGGAAATAYGACAGAATAATAAAACATAATTGTGAGGATACTGTAATCCCTATTGATGGTTTCTGCTTCTTGATATACTTAACAGTCAACATACATAAGAGAAGCACATATTTATCTTGTTGAATATTCAGATTGGCCAAAACATTCAACTCATCTTGAATTTCATAGGCTTTAAAATAATTCTTTACCATTTTTCTAAATTCTGCAAAGAAAATTTTCATTCTGCAAAATTGTGCAATTGTCTGTAAACAAAATAAAAAAACACCCTGGAGCAAGATTGTTTCCTACAATCCCTGTTAAAATGGTATTTTTCTACTACCAAGTGTTACCCACCTCTGCTACCTCAGGCATCTACCCAGCTACCTCAGGTAGTTGTGTTTAATTAATTTAGATTAATAATATTAGCACATAGACTTTCCTTTCCATTACTTAACTGATTCTCAACTTTGCAAGTAGATTGAGCTTAGATTTCGCAATATGCAGTATCACAGGTTCCCAGAAAGAAGCTATTATAAATTTAAGTCATTTAAAAATTATTTTAAAAAATTTAAAAAGCAGTGAGTATCCATAGAAGGTGAGTGGTTAGAAACATATAATGTCAAAGACTACTCCCTCAATCTTTTTGTTACTTTGGTAAGAGTATCACTCAAATATGTCCTATCAACTTGTGTATCAACTGGGAAACTGCAGCAGGGTGGGTGTGGGGAAACTGCTAGACAAGCACATATTGCCAGACCCTTGGATTCACAGGACAGTTCACATTGACTTTTGGTCAATAATTGTCTTTGGATTGCTTTAGATCATTCTTCGGAAAACAACCTCACAATATAAAGAGCAGACATTACATACAGAACAAGGAAGAAGAAAACCAGAACTGTCAAGTGCAGATTTAAATTTGATGAATGATCATACTGGAAACTATAAGAAATGACAGCCTTCCCTCACAGATATGCAGCTTTTACTTTACAAGCTGTGCAGGTACACAAATGTAACTTTACACTTGGAAAAAAATGCTTTTAAATGGTTTTCAAAAGCGGAGAACACACATCTCTTTCAGGTTAATACTATCATTAATTATGAAATCATGATCCTTCTTTCTTTTCTTTTTCTAGAGAAAAAAGTCCTTACTGATTTTATTTTAGGACATTAAATGTGTGTTACAAAGTAGAGTTAAACTCCATTTAAACACCAGCTACCTGGTGTTTAAGACTGTCCAAGTCACAGATTAATTGGATTTGGATCCACTTAGTCAAAGAGCCTCAACCRTGCACTGAGAAAATTCTGATTAACAACTCCTATGGAGAAGGGGACATTGTTCCGTGGGATTTTGAAGTGAAAGCAGCTAGAGATTTCTGTRTTTCTTACATTCATTAAATTTGAAATGATCGGCCACCTCAGAAGACTCGGGCAATAGTTGCTGTCCTTAATACCAATCCTAAATATTAGATGAAAYATATGCAGTAAATTACTAATAAGATAGAATCAACTTATACAGCATTTTTTATTTAAATTCCACCTAGCTCTTTCTCCTATAAATATGTCAGTACAAAGAACAGAATTTCTATTCTCAGCTGCTTAYTGTTCATTGAGCATCAGCTGTATCTGTTTTCAAACTGGTAATCCAAGTAAACTACCTATGTGRAAATAGGAGAAAGGTGTTTCTTTCCAACTGTTTTGCTTTCTATGTCAAATGTTATAGACAACGTGACATGATTCATAGATGAAAGGAGGCCCACAGGGATGTGCCACTAAGATGTTGTCTATTTTCTGCTGTTCTTTGCTGTCATGCAAACCTAACAGGCAGATGGCCTCAAAGCAGGAAATTAGATCATCCCCATGTCAAAAGAAATCATCTATTTCCATTGTAAATTTTGGTGTGGATTAGTCTTTTTAAAAGTAGGTATTTCCTCTGAATAACATCTCAGGCCTTGTGTGTGACCATGAGAACTATATTGCAGGATAGTCAGGCTTACRGCATTTATGACTCAGTCATATGTAGATTTTGGTGGCTGCACAAAGGATAGATGGTTTTAAGACTGCTGATCTAATACAGTATAGATATTAATAAAATCAGTTATAATTTAACAATGTTGGTGAATCTGAAAGCAATTTGATTTGCTTGTCATATTGACTTTCCTCACCTTATAGCATCTCCACATGGTGGACATCAACATGGAATTGATAGATTCATGCTAGCTTTGGTCCAAATAGCAGGGAAAATATAGCTAAAGAAGTTCCATTTGGGATGATTTAATCTATTTCTTGGAATTTAAAATTTATTCAGATATCATATGCACCATTGGAAGCTATTTTGGGGATGCTTAAGGAGATCTAAGAAAACCAATTGTCTGTGTATGATCTGCAGAAGATTTTTCCACAACRTCAGCTTCAGACCTCTGCATTGACAAAAAGATTGAATTCAGCTGGATGTGTTAAAGAGATGGGATCTACAGCAGAATGGTTTTAAGGATCATAAAGTATGTAGTCAAAAGAGCACAGAATTCACATGAACACATACACAGAGAAAATTTTTCTAATTAGCAAATGCTATGGAGAAGGAAACRTATAGCCACATATTCTGACTAGATATTCAGTCTTACTTATACTGATTTTAGTTTTTTTTTAAATGATTAAGAGCTCCAGCTCTTTACAGGTAGTCAATTGATCATGTTTGTAGACAATACACATAATCCTTATTAAGAATGAGATCCCTCATTTTCCATGCTTAACTAGAACTGATGCAAGAAAAGCCAACACATGATTTTGTCTGAATCTTTTACTCAGATTTTCATAGGTAGCAACTATACCTACTTTTTAAGAGATGCAAAGGGTAAACTCTGATGTTGAAAAGACTGCAGTCCTGGGCAGAATGTTTGTCTCATGAAATCTCTGCAGCCTAAAAAAAATCCACCTGTTTCCCTTCGTTCACAAAATAGATATATCAAAAGTGACTGGGTTAAGGAAAAACAKCAGTGCATGATTTAGGGCATTAGAGGTAGTGGCAGAAAAAGAGCTGGAGAAAAAAAGTAGACTTCTGTCACTAGTTGGTGACTTGGTCAGAAAAAACAGGATACTTTTCAGCTGTAAGTCTACTTAACTGTTTAAGAAAAGGTTTTACTGAGCATATTAAAGAACTAGCCAGATTTGCTAAATTCTTYGGTGTTTTAAAAAGAAAAATGAGTAACTTTGACCTTTACCCATTATGATCCTTTCCTACTTCATCCTCTTTCTGATGTGATGTTTCTTTGCCAGTAAGAGATGCAGAAAGTCACAATCACTGAAGTACTTACTGGAATCTATCACTTTTCATCACACAAAAATGCATCTGGTCCAGGATAAGTTGTCTGAGAAAACCACACTATAAACAGAAAACAGAAGTTAGGTACATTGAGGATGGTTCTGGTTTAAATTAGCACTAAGGTCTGCTTCCAAAAAGTGATATATCTGACTCCTGACTGAGCTGGTCACTGTCAGGACATCTCCACCTGACACCTAAGCAGTTTCTAGTTATTCTGTTAGGTGACTAAGTTATGAAATTCACATATTGAGCTTATGGCATAATATGCCATAATATTCTCYATGTTCCCAGAGGAAAACCAGATCACTGTGCTTCCTTTCAGCAGGGAATCTGATTCTCTTATCATTCCTGAGCAACAGTATATGGGAACATAAGCATATTTTACTGTTCTGGGGCATGAGACAGATGTAGGCAGGATTTTCACGCTCAAGCTGCTAGACATATCCTCCAGGCAGGATCCAAAAACTACTGTGAGGTTCTTGAATGCTAATGCCTGCTTTTTGACCCTTGTTGGCAAACATGAGCAGCGGATATGCCCACACTGTGTCTCCACATCTARCGAAGTGCCTGTGTTCCTTCTGAACAGGGAATAACCTTTCTCTTGAACCACTATTGACTGAATCCGTGCTGGGGGCTCAGAATCTGCAGCAGGGCACTGTAGGTCTGGCAGCAGCATTATTGGCCACCCTTTATCATGAAATAACTCTGTTAGTAACTCAGCTATTGAACAGCAACTTAGATCAGAGGAGATCAATAAACATAAAAATTACCAAGCCTTGCCAAAAATGTAACATATATCACAGCTCACCCGACCAATACTGCCTTCTTGTTAAGATCAATACTTACGTTATCTTCTAAATGTAATTTAACAATAAAAACATTGAGAACACTCTTTGGGCATGAACCTTTGTAAAACATTAATAGCTTAGGAAAAAAAACTGTGTTAGATGCATCTAAAATATCAGCTGAGAAACAAAAGCCTCAGTAAATCTCTTAAAGGAAAGATAATATACATAGCCCAAAACTGGATCCTATATAATACATCTTTTTACTCAGAGCACCAGGAAAGTTAAGGCAGACTTAAAATAAAAAAAAAAATCTAACCTTACCTGGAAAAAAACCCACCAAATTTAAATTTCCAAATACTGTGTAACWAGAGCCTTCATTTCAAAGTTTCTTCTGTTAATAATTCAAAGATGGGTCATGTTGCCAAACTAATGTTCAAAGTGAGGATGCAATTTCTATTGCCTATTTAGGGTGTCTGGTTGAACTGAAAAATAAAGCTAAAATACAGAGGAATGTAAAATATTTTCTTCCTTTTATCTTTGATATTATTACCTAACTGTAACAGGCATAGTTCATTTTTATTTGGGTARAAATGTAGGTAGGAGTTTAGAAAGAAGAACAACTATGAACAACCGCAAATTCTTACTATGAACAGAATAAGAGGCTTTTTGCTATTATTTCTCTTGCTATACAGCATGAGCTATAGACAAGCATACTGCTGCAACTGGTTCTATGTTATATTGGACTCTTGAAACACACATACTTGTATAAGTTGATCTAAAGTGCTACAGCATACTGAATTTAATATATTCATTACCTTCCTGAAATAAGTAATCTTCACCACTTTGCTTTTGAGTATGAAGATCCTCAACTTCATTGATCAGATTTTTCTTTTGTAATGATTTAAGCTCTAAATATATGATCAAAAGTGTACAAAAATGGTTATGTACTGCATTCCCAGAGCCAGGATAGTACCATGTGGAAAACAGAAAAAACTAAGTCTTGAAAATATAAGAAATAATTAGAACCTCTAAAAATATACCTATTCAAAAAAGGTATGGTCTTTCATCTTTGAATTTGAATAACTATGTGTTTTCTAATTATATGAATTGCATCAGGAAAGAGGCAGCACGAGAGAAAAAATGTATGGAAATGGGCTGAGCAGTGTAGGAGGACTTGGAGAGCTGTGAAGCTATTTTGATTGGAGAAGTTAAAATATGTCATGCAATAAGTCCCAGAAGTCTAGGCAAGTAGAGGGCAAGCAGGTAACAATAGTCATTTAAATGGCAAAGTATGATGAGTTAGCTAAAGTACTAAATGCCAATGATATTTTAGCTGCTAAATTCCTGGTGGTCACATTACTTGTTAAGAAAGTCTAATACCTACGGYCTATAATTATTTCAGCAGGCTCCCTTTTCTTTCATTTCTTTTCTGTCACAGAGAATGAGGAAGGAAACATGGAGCTGAGTAACAGGGGGACTTTGAATTCAGGGAATTATGTTGTCTTTTTCTAGGAAACTCAGAAGAAGATAGGAGTACTAGATAATTTCCTGACCAATTACAACTTGCAATGGTGACACCCTTGGGATGGAGACACTGGCATTCTTTTAGAAGCCGTTAAATCCTGAATTATCAGGAGGAAAGCTCAGCTGCGCGCACAGAGGTTACTGACCTTTTTTCCCTTTGCTCCAAATCCTACAGGCTTGAAAGAATTCCTTTTTTCATGAGTATTTTAGTAAAGTCTTCTGTTGGACATGAAGCATTTGGAAATTAAAGCCAGGTAAAAATTTTCCCTCCTTGCTTCCTGAGGAAACCTGTACTGAAATTAAAATAGCTGTGGGAGCAAAGATACTTATCAAACATTAAATTACATCATGAGTTAGAAAAATGTTTAAGGCATATACAATTCTCAATTATGTATAAAAAGTGTAATGAATAACAAGGACAAACTTACTTGAATTTTTGCAGTAAGTATAGAACCTTTACAGTGATGACACATAASGAGAGTATTAGAGATGGAGATATTTGGAGATATTTCACATATTAAATATGCACATACGTTGCTCACTCACTGACATTTCTCTATCTGAAAGAAAACTACATGACTGGAAACCAAATGTCAGAACTGTTGACTTACAAATAAAATGACATTTGTAGAGCTCAGAATTAAAATGTAAATAGGTGCCTAATAACACAAGTTCTAAGTTTAAATGTTAGAAGGCTGAAAAATGATTAAGATATGGTACCACACTGGCATGGGAAAGTTATATCAACATGAGAACTTACAGAAACATATTTAAGATCTGAACAGCAGCACAAACAATGCTATTAATTACATRCATATGCATTACAATTATTTTATTTCAAAGAGAAATGCTTATTGTTTAAAGCAAAAATATTCAAACAATATATTTTCTCCTTAGGTAAACACACCAAAGCCCCTACCCACTTCTCTTTTCCCATAATGTGTTTGTGTATTTTTTCCCTACATTTCTAATTTCTCGCTTTTATGTTACATTTGTTAGTGCTCATATTTACTAATAGAGAAGCAGAGACATTTTTGGCATAGTCTGTTGAAGAACACACGGTCGGAGAAGGGAGACCTTAAAATGGGTCTGTCAGTGTGCACAGAATTGATGTGATGTGCTCTGCTCCACTCCACAGCGGGAAGGAGGAGGCTGTGCAATCCATCACGGAGATGACAAACCAGGAACTACGGTGTCTTGATGCATAGCCAGAAGACGACAACAGCAGGGTGCTTCTTAGACAGAAATAGCAATCCTTGAGCTCCATTGTTGCCTATTTCTCCAATAGTTATTAGTTTTCTTTTAGCTAATATTTTAAGCCAGAAAATATGAGATGTAAAGCTGCCATAGTCAGGACTGGTTGGAAAATCAGACCATTTGATGTGAAGCTTTGCTTCTTTTGAGGACAGAAGATGTAAAGCCTGCAATGGTTCTACCAGGAGCAACTGCTAAGAAATAAGCACTACTGCAGCACAGCAGGACTCCAATTTTGTGTCTGGATATCATATTAGGTGAACATTTAGATGTTCATATTTAGTCTGTCACCATAAAATAGAAAGTATGCTCAGATGAAGAAAATAGATCTGGAAGGGGTAGGAAAGGGAGGTGACAGTATTCTTTCCACTTTCTGCCTCTGATTTTCTGTCTTCCCATTTGGTTTGTATTTACTAGGTATTTATTCATGTTACAGCTGGAGATATTCTCAAGGTCTTTGGAGAAGGAGGAGAGGCACATTGCTCAGTTTTTTATGCTTCCAAAAGGAAGGCTGTCTAAATTTTATCTGGGGAAAGACCTTTTGTTTTGCCTCTGCCCTCTAGATCTCTACATTAATTTAACATCTGACTAGATAATTGGATTTTTAACCTAATTCTTATCAGAAGGTAGCTGCTGACTGCCGATAACTTCAGTGTCTATTGTTCAATTTTTGKTTTTTAAAGCATAATTTTAAAAACAAATACTATGTGTGCCTGTACATTCTAGTTCATTAAAAATACAAAAAAAAATTCACAAATAAATCTGTCTCATGTTCAGAAAAACAAGATTCAGCAATAATGAAAAAAATGCAATTTTGATAGCTATGTGGATGACTGCGTTGTAATAGAATTCATTTCATCCTTATAAACAAACATTAAGTATATGCTTATGAGAATGAAATGACAGAATGAAGTCAAACTCTATAAATGAGCAATGTGCTTCAGCTACAGACAAAACTGAAAGACTTTAATCAATATAAACACAAGAAATTTGACAAAGGATAATTATAAAGAACTAGAAAGACAACTTTTCTGTGAGAAGTTATSCTCATACTGCTGCTACAGAATAGACACAAGGCAGGGACTGCTTGGTAAAATACATCAACATCTTAGGGATTGTTCCAAATAYAGTATATTTATATTACATGAGTTTAGTTTCTCATGCTTATTATCTCCAAATAATCCCTAATTGCTTCAATATTTAGGTATTTTAGTCATAATGAATAGATACTAAAGAAATATYTTGACACCTGAATAAAGAACGCTTTTGATACCTACTGACCACCACCAATTCCTTTCCTTCTAAACAGTGAAGATTGCTTAGCACATCTGGAATTAGCCCTTTCTATTGAGTATTTAAATATGGATTCTACTATAYCAAGCCACCCAACGCTAATTTTTGAGATGCTTTTTTTCAGTCTCACATATAAGTGTGCTAATTCAAAGGAGTCTCACTGGGGTAAGTGAGGTCTAACAGGGTTGATTCAAACTTCGGTGCTACAAGGAAACTTACTGTGCTGTATAATAAACATTTTAAGACAGGGTCAAAGTTCTCTYTGTTATCAGGTTTTACTACATCTGCCTGACCCAGCCTAAGGCTCTGCACTGTGTAACAGGACTTTCTGCATTGTTTCTCTGAAGCAGTAGCAAAAAGTGGACATATACACTGGTTTGACAACAGAGCTGAGCAGCACAGCAGCTGGATTCCTCTTTCTATAATAAGTTCCTTTGATGYTCATCACTCCAATATCTTAAGTTACATATATCATATTCCAATATCTTAAGTCACATATATCATATTAAGTCACATGAAGAAACAGTTTTCACATATAAGGCAAAAAAATAATCACTTGGTAATAACTGAACCAGTGAAGCTACCCAGAAGGCCTGCAACAGAATGTGATTAGAATGTAGGTCTTCTATTCTGGGCTCTGACATAGAATCCTTCCTTTTAAAAGGGGAAGATTACTGGCAGGACTTCTCAGACTTAAATGCTGTCAGTGTGAGAATTTTGCAGAGAGACTGTGATTCCCTTACTCAGGAGATGTCTGAGCAGAGGAAGCAGTCAGAAATTAATGGGACAGTTTGCAGCTTGAGGAGTCACCCACCTGAGCAAGGGTGATAGGATTTCAGCCTTGAAGGTACCCAAGAGCAATTCAATACAGTTTTAGGAAAATGTGAATAGTAACTGTGTAGGAGGATAAAACATAATCCAAAAGTGTGAGGTCATTTGTAGCTAGAGAATTAAATAAACTTAAGTGTTTTAGGGTAAATAAGGGTTAATTTTTGTGAGTGCTTTTTAGAAATTTAAAAACACAAAGAAAAGCATTTTAAAGGCACAACTGGGCTGCAGTAAAGTCATAAGAAACATACAGATCCAAACCAGAATTTTATATACAATCTGGTTATATACTCAATATTCTCCCAGGCAAGTGCCAACTACCTCTGGAAATGATAGACTCTGTAGATGTCTCCAGACAGCCAGTAGCATTTCAGGCTTGATGCATTTGAGAAGTCTTCCCCTCAGCTGCTCCACAGTGCAGAAAAGAGTGTGGTCCATGGGGTGGGAGTGACAGAGTATGACAGCAGCCTGGCACTAGAGGCTTCCTCCAGGTCTGCCTCCCAGCCTTTGCAACAAAAAAACAATTTTAGCATTTAATAATGAACTGTGATTGGGTGAAATGAATGATCAACCATAATTACTAGAACCCGTCTCTCCTCCTTTCAAATAAATYTTCACGCATCCGCCTGGAGGATTTTTACTGCCCAAAGCAAACTTTTGGCAATATCACAGTTTCAACAGCAAACAGCTCTATCCCCCAAGCCTGAATGCCTTTCAGTCAAGGAGGTAGAGTACTTTCCAAAATGATGCTGTTGATTTTCAACATTTAGGGTCAGGTATGCCCTGATTCTGGTTTTAGAGATGYACTCTAACTACAGGATTATTGTATAAACAGGCAGTTTAATTCTCCATCATGCAATGAAARGAAATGCTCATGTTCCATTTTTTAAATACAAGATAGGCTGCTGTTTTTTGAACATTGGGCTGTGACTTTCAAGTCTTGGGAGTAATACGGGGATAATATTCAGCAAAGGGCTTGGCCTCAAAAGAGGTCGAGATTTGTTAATCATTCTTTTCACAGTTTCCCCTTGGTAATGGACCACTGGCATCAGTGAATTTTTTTTCTAACACAATTTATTATATGCTGAGAGTTCATCATTTTTCTCTGACAGCTCAGAGTTGTAGCAAGAACAACAGGGACTTGAATTAACACTGGTATACTTCCAAAGCTTATAAATATTGTGATCCATAGGTAAAAAGCAGACATTTTATCACAATTCAGGGATTTTTAAGAAAGAAAAAACAGTAATAGAAAAGGGATTTGCTTTCTGAGGTATTAAAAAGCTCTGATAATCCAGCAACACTAAATATTTTCATTGTGTACCTTTACTGGTTGCTGAAGTTCATTAAAAGTTAAAGATTGAAGCTACTACATTTCCAGGTATTTACCCTGAATTTTMATTTGCTGCTTTTACACGGTTCTTCTATGTCTTCCACTAATAAGCTAAATAATGCATTTCCTTCCATATGCCAAATTCGGGTGTTTTGAAAACAAATCTTTTCTGAGAGGAACTTCTAAATCATAATCCTTCTAAACTTCTTCCTCTACATTTTTAGGATGAACTACCCGAGCAAAAAAACCCACTCTTTAAAATTGTATACAGGGAGTAGTATAGAAAGTTTTCTCTTCTAGAGCATTCTTTCTTGCTGAGAGATACTCTAGTCCACAGAATCCAGTGCTAAGCAACTTTGCAATATAATTGTGCAGACCACTTTGTCCTGTTTATGGTTAATATGCAATTCTTTCAATAGCATCATATTATTCTCCTAAGCACACAGTTAAAAACCTTACCCTACACCAGGCAACCCATGGGAAACTTTAGGCTTGTACTGAAGCTTTTAGTAGAGACCAGGTGTAATGTTCTGGAGCAAAGACTCTGTCAATTTAAAATATCAGAAATTCTCAGTACAAACCACATCTGTGCACACACCGTGCAAAAGCAAATGGAACAACTTGCAGTTATAGACATGCAGTGCATATAGCATTGGAAATATTATCTTCACTTATTGACCTGCTCTTCATGAGTAGAAAAATTGCTTAGTGAGGCTGACTTCTATTGACTGCACATTTAGTCTGGGGTTGAAGATCAGAAACATGAACATCTACTCCCAAGTATGAGGTTACAGCCTTTCCTAATGTTAGAAAGAAGATTTCTAAAAAGCACTTARTTTGACTAAATTGTCCTTCCCTCGGTAGGACCCCAGGGAAAACAAAGCTCAGTAAATATCAAAGACTGAGTCTTCAAAGGCTATATGAGTTTCAAATACTCCAAAAATATAACAAGCTATGATGAATAATTTTTGAATTTGCCTACATATATCAATCTTTGAAAAAGTTGMTATTTCTTTTTCTTGTGCCTAAAAWATAACATAATAAAAATCACCAGAAAGTTAACTAGTAATAAATGTCACAACACACTATTTTACTTTTTCCTACAGTGAGCTCTTAATATATATAAACAGTTTATCATCTGAGACATTATGCCACAAATCCAGTAAACAGAATGCCTGGGGCTAAACAGGAATCCTAACCCATCACTGATATTCTAACTTCAATAAAGAATTTGTGTTCTATCTAGATTGGGATTTCAGTTGTGCTACTGTAACTTAATTTTGTTGGCATTATACCATGCATTGGTAACCTGGAAACAAGTACATTACTTAAATACCATCCACAAAAAAAAAAAAGGAAAAACATCTCAATTGGAAGAATATACACTAAGTATAAGAAAATTCTTAACCTCATGGTGACAAGATATTTTAAAAAAAGGGAGACCAAAACATAGTAATATCACAACTACTTCCAGAGAGATTGGCACAAATTCATTTTAATTACTAGCACCTTCTGGCTTGTCAGCTTGCATAGGCTCATTGGCCGTGTGCTGAACCAGGGCTCTACACAATCCATTTTAATTCAGGACAACGCAGGCAAGAACACACATATGAAGGATTGTCACAGCTGGCAGACAGTGATAAATATAAAAAGCTTACTAATTTTGCAGACAAGTTCACATTGTGCTTATTTGGCTTGCATTTCTGTACTGCCATACAACAAGTGGCAGCACAATTAATCATGAGTATCACAGGGTAATTTGCTATGACAGAGCGCCATGTGTGCTCATTAAAGACATCTTCTCTTTCATCCCTTTATATTATGTGCCTCCCTCTGATTTTTGTCAAGGACCTAGATTATCTACAACACCATGAARTATTTCAGGGAGTACTTGAAGATAAAAAAACTCATGAATGATGTGAAGCATTAAGGTGTAGGTGACACCTTGGACTGTCCATACTGCTTTACCTACAGGTGATGGAAGAACCAGAAAAGCCTTTTGCTGTTATGCAAACTGAGRATTTAAAAACAGTTGTGGTGATCAAATCTGTGCTTTTTGTCATACTMCTATTCTGTCAACACCATTTAAACATTCTCCAGTGACACTTTCAACACCACAAGAGACCAGACCATTTAYCCTCACCACCCTGCCTGCCAGACAGGAGGTTTATCTAGCAGAGCATGCATAGGATATGGGCAATGAATGTGTAATGACCCAAATGATTGCACTACTGATCAGCTGTTACACTGATCAGGTGGCTCTTGTCCTCCTGTGATCATGTTGTGGCTTTCCTTTCCTGCTGGTTCTGTATTACAGCAAATTAGGCTAATACAAAGATCTGTTTGTATTTTTTTTTTTTTTTTTACGATAACCTTTTCAGGACAGCTAGGCTCCTGCACTGAACCCCCTTCTAGATAGCTAATTGTTGACCTCATTTGCTGCTTTAGCTAAATATATATTTTGACAAACTATGACAATCTAACCATTCCTCTCAAGGACTACAGTACTAAGACAAAAGCACTAACATCACTCTGCTTTTTACCTAAATGCAAATCTTTGCAAGCCTTTTTGAAATTAAAGTTTGAGCGCCTAAGATACAAATGCTTATGYCAGTAAGAAAAAGACTAGATCCATGACAGTTACATAATGCAAGTGTGCAACAGCATAGATTATTTGTAGTAATCTATTTTCTGGTTTCAATAGAACACAGAAATATGTATAAGAATGTATTGCTCTTTGATTTGCTTACAGCAGCACCTTTCTACTATAGAATGGAAAAAATAGGTTACAAAACTGAATGTGCTAGTAACAAATAATTTCATTCTAATGTAAAGGACTGAAGCAAGTCACAGAAGATAAATAACGCTGTCCAACATCATCTCTGTTAAGGGATAAAACATTGAGATTTTTAACTTCTGATTTCATACTTTAGTTATTGGAAACTATCAGAATGTTGTTAAAAGGATTTCTCAATCATTCACTAAGAAATTCCAATATTAATTACATATGAATGTCAAAGGAAAGATTAACACTCTACAAAATAAAGTATTATTGTGTAAGAATGAATGATTTTAAACAATATTTTTGCTATTAGAAAAATAACGAGAAGCAGGAGAATATTTCAAGATAGAACACTTTCTAAAGCCTTTAAATTCCTTATTATTCTGCATCTTGTGTGAAATGATAAAGAACTCCAATTTCTGCCTTTCTCAGGTACATCCCATTTCTATTYGCTCTTTTGCTAATAATCCACCTCCTCACAGTTTATTTTAGCATACAAAATGTCTGACACAGGAACTCCAAGYACACAAGATAAACATCAAAAATACACTCAAACTGACAAAAAATGTCCTCTGGTTATTATTCTTCCTTTTTAAAAAATACAGTTTTCATTATTTTAAGATCCACAATGAGTAACACTCAACACTGTTCCAGTATTAGGATCAGCAGAATACAATAAATGCATCACTCTACCAGGATACCCAAGTAAATTTCATTCCACCAGACCCCAGTCCTCCTGCCTGCCTGGTCTTTGGATATTGAAATTCTTGAGATTTTAATAGCCTTCTGCAACAGAATGAATTTTCAGGCAATTTAGAGTACTTTAGAAGTATGGGCTTGCAACCTGAAGGCTGCCTTTGACATTGCTGTTGCTCAGACTCTAGAAAGATGGTTGCAGAAACAAGTAGCTCTTCTTGAATTTCTCTATGTGGATTTATATACTCATATGTAAGTATGCATATGTAAATATACATATAGAATTATATTTTAAATAAGCAGATAGAGCCCTGAAGTCAAAGGCAGCTTTTTTTTTTGCGAGAATAGTGAGCTCTATCTTCACTAGAATCTTACAAACCTCACTAAAATCCTTCTTTTTGTCTGAATCTTCAGGGGTGATATAACACAACCAATACAAACTTGCTAAAGTGTGTAGTGAGTGACAAGTAATGCAAAGTGTTTTTTTTCCCCCAGACACCAAAATGGTACAAATTCATAATGCATTTGTGTACATCTTCAGCAGAGATGTCACTGATATCAAAAATAGTTTGCAGGACAAAGTTACCAGATGCTTTAAAAGTTAGTGTTTTTTTCATCTTTTCCATTATATCACAACTAAATATACCTTGCTATTTTTACCTAAATAGTGACTAAGTTATACTGCTTTTATATA